GAAGTCCAAGGCCTCTGCCCCTGTCGCAGATACAGACTCTGAGTCCCAAGGTGGGTAGGGGTCTGTCTCAGAATATGTCCTATTAGTTCAGGACCCAGCACCAAGGTCTGCTCCCAGCAGGCAATCAGCCTGTGGGTGAATAATGGTGCCAAGCCCCTGACATCTTTCCTTCCAGCTTCTCCAGCCCTTACACACCTGGATTCCTCCTTCTGCCTTCTCTGAGCCCCTTCGACCTGGCACTACGTGTCCTGCACAGACTACTGGGTTGACCTCTGTGCAGCTCTTGTGTCACTGCCCTGCTACCCCTGAGCCTGTGGGGGCTCCCTGTGACCGTCACGCCCATCCGTTCATCCACCTGTGCCACACTGCGCAGTCGCGTGGATACAGGGGTGCCTAGTCCCCAGCCTCGGGGTGCTCTAATCTAGTATTTATTCTTCCAGCTTTGTGCAAGGTGTTAAGAGGGACGTTAGAGTGCTAAGGCCAAATGCTCCACTCTAGGACCGTGCAGGACGGGTCTCCGGGTGCAGGTGGGCCTTAGACCCACCTAGTTCTCTCTCGTTTTTCACTTGTTAAAAACGATTATATAGTTAAAGAATTATATAGTTCTGAAGATTACATAGTTAAAGAATATGCTGGGAATGCAATATCCTAAGATAGGGAGGGACTGGCTGCAACACCCCCGGGATCTATCTGTTCCACTCCCCTGAGCCCCAGAAATAGGGCAGCCTTCAAGGCTTTAGCCCAGCAAAGCATGTCACCTTGAAGTATAAAACCCAGGGTGAGCTGCTTTCTGGGGTCCCTCAGCAAGTGGGGCACATGTAGACAAGACTCTCTCTGCCCCAGACAACTTTCCTGAGCCTTGGGGGCCAGGCTCACAGTGGATCCTATGCTTCCGTTGTCCTTTGCTGCCCATCTTTAGTAATAAACCCGTTTTATATAACATGTATGTGTGGATATTCTGCCTCACTGGACTCAGACAAGTTGGTAACCAGTACATGGTGAGCCTGCCTCACATACTGGATGCTTCATATCACAGCCAGCCTAGCTTTTCAGCTGCTCTGACCATCGTATCCAATATGCTTGTCCCATGAGGCCCAGATGATGGCCCTCTCCATTGTCAGTCTTCATTCACCTTCTTTCCTATCTCTGTAACTTTCCTTGTGATGGGTCTGCTGCTGCCTGGCTGCCCTTTCTTTGCTTTGCTTTTTTTTTTTTTGAGACGGAGTTTCATTCCCTGCCTAGGCTGGTGTGCAATGGCACGATCTCAGCTCACTGCAGCCTCTGCCTCCCGGGTTCAAGTGATTCTCCTGCCTTGGCCCCCTGAGTAGCTGGGATTATAGATGCCTGCCACCATGCCTGGCTAATTTTTTTGTATTTTTAGTAGAGACGGGATTTCCCCATGTTGGCCAAGCTGGTCTCGAACTCTAACCTCAGGTGATCCACCCGCCTCGGCCTCCCAAAGTGCTCGGATTACAGGCGTGAGCCACTGCACCCATCCCTGGCTACTCCCCTTTCTACTCCCTGGCTCTGTCTGTATTCCGTTCCCTCTGTATAGTCTAATACCAGTCCTCCCTCTCCAGAAAGCTACCCAATGGTCCCAGGGGTCCTCTGAGTGCCTGCAGGACTTCCTGTCCAGGACTCTCATCTCTTGTGGTGCCACCAGCTCAGCTGCATCCTCCAGAGCAGGGAGCAGGAGCCCTCCCTGGCTTTCCTTGTCCTTTCCCTCCAAGCACTGGGCCTGGTATGCCACAGAGACTCAGTATGTACTTGCGGAGCCAAATTGTGCCCTCTCCTCTTCTCCCGCACAGTATCCAGCCCACTCTGTGCATGGGGTAGGGATGGGGGAAAAGGTGGAAACGCACAGGCAAGGAATAGTTCTTATTTCTCTCTCCCTCTTTTTTTTTTCCAAGACAGAGTCATGCTCTGTTGCTCAGGATGGAGTGCAGTGGTGCGATCTTGGCTCACTGCATCCCCTACCTCACAGGTTCAAGCGATTCTCCTGCCTCAGCCTCCTGAGTAGCTGGGACTATAGGCACACGCCACCATGCCTGACTAATTTTTGTATTTTGGCCAGGCAGGTCCTGAACCCCTGACCTCAGGTGACCCACCCACCTCGGCCTCCCAAAGTGCTGGGATTATAGGCGTAAGCCACCGCATCCAGCCTAGTTCCTATTTCTCATCTGATTTCTCACCAGTTCAGAGAGGTACCTTGTCTTATTCCCATCCATTCATTTATTCAACACATTCCTGTTGAGTACCTACCAGGTGCTGAGCATTGTTTGAGGCACAAAGCACAGAGGGTAAGTCAACTAGCGAGGCTGCCCTCAGGGAGCTTGCATTCTAGATGATGAATAGGTTGACAACTTAAAGATCATGTCAGAGGGAGAAAGTAGTACAAAGACAATAAAACAGGGCCATGTGATAGGCTGAGTGTGGCTGACAGGTTCCTTGAGATCGGCTGGCCAGGGAAGGCCTTGTGGAAAAACTGATGTCGAAATTGAAAAGTGGATGACTCAAAAGAGTTAGCCATTAGACTGTCTATGGGGAGGAGTTCAGGCACAGGCACATTCAAAGGCCCTGAGGTGAGACTAGGCTTAGTGTATTCAAAGGCTGGAGGTCAGACCAGAGTGGCTAGACATAGGGCTTTATGGATCTTGGTGAAGATTTTGGATCTTATTCTAAGAAGATGAGGCTTGGACTAGGGTAATGAAAGAGGGGGTGGAAGGAAGGGACGGATTCAGGATTTATTTTGTAGGTAGCACTAAACAGGGCTTGTTGACACACGTGAAAGGATTATCGAGGGAAAAGGAGGAATCACGTGATTTTGAGCTGGGTTGCATGAGCCCCTTGGGTGAGAAAGGCAGTGTCATTTGCTGGACTGAAGAAGACTGCTGTGGTCATATTTGAGAAGTGAATTAGCCAGCCAGAGGGAATTCAAGTAGACCATTGTATATATGAACATGGAATTTAAAGGCAAGGTCTATGGCTGGGCGCGGTGGCTCACGCCTGTAATCCGAGCACTTTGGGAGGCCGAGGCGGGCGGATCACCTGAGGTAAGGAGTTCGAGAGCAGCCTGGTCAAAATAGTGAAACCCCGTCTCTACTAAAAATACAAAAATTAGCCAGGTGAGGTGGTGCGTGCCTGTAATCCCACCTACTCGGGAGGCTGAGGCAAGAGAATCGCCTGAATCTCAGAGACAGAGGTTGCAGTGAGCTGAGACTGCACCACTGCACTCCAGCCTGGGCAACATTGACACTCTAGCCTGTGTCAATTAAAACAAAAAAAGGCAAAGTCTCATCTGAAGATGTGGATTTGGGAATCATTAGAGGGACTGAATGAGATCATCCAGGCAGAGAATGGAGATGGGAGACCAGAGCGTGGAGCCCCGAGGGTGGAGAAGATGAGGAGGAACTAGGGAGGGAGACTGGGAAGGAGTCGCTAGTGACATGGGAGGAGAACCAAGCTGGGGCTGTCACAGAGCCTGCAGAAGGCAGCATTGAGAAGAAGAGAGGGAGCCTCTGTGTCTTCTGCTGTTTCGAGGTGGGCTCTGTAAGGACAGAGCTTTTCCATTTGATAAGCCAGATGGAGATTATGGAGACCCCGATAAAAGCTCTCCTATGGGGACGTGTTGAGAAAAGTCAAGCGGAGGAGGTGAGGGGACAATTATTGAGGGATGCTGCTGCAAAGGGGAGCAAAGAAAGATGGCTTTTGATGTCGGGCATGGTGGTCCACGCCTGTAGTCCCAGCTACTCAGGAGGCTGAGACTAGCTTGAACCCGGGAGGTGGAGGTTGCAGTGAGCCATGATCACACCACTGCACTCCAGCCTGGGCGACAGAGATTCTGTCTCAAAAAAAAAAAAAAAAAAAAAAGGAAAAAAAATAAAGAAAGGCAGCTTTTGATATTGTGGAGGCTAAGCCATGTTTGTATGCTGATGGAATCATCCTGTAGTAATGCAGAGAGGGATCATGTGGTGAGGGGAGGGGACCAGAGCTAATGAATAAATCGGGAGACAGCCATGGGACCTGGGGCCCATCTTCACAGCTCCCATTGCAGCCAAATCAAGGCAGGGAGTGTGGTGGGTTTGGGAATGCTTCTTCTCATCTGATGCTTCTGTTTGTCGGTGACACACGGGTGAGATGAGGGGCGTGGGGGATGCTGTTGTGAAATGATGACCTGGAGCAGAGGGGAGGGCGGTGTGGCCATGGAAAAGTGAGACTTGCCGGCAGCATCCGACCTGAGTGGTTACTGCTTGAAAGTGAAACCCATCAACAAGACAGGATGTTCTCCAGCCGCGTTGAGCTGCTCAACATGGGTACAAGGCTCGGTGGGTTTAACCCGGGGGAGGGGGTTTGCCAATGAACACAGCAGGATGAGACAGGGCAGGTGCTGGCAGGGCATGCTAGTGACTGTGTATTTGCAGGCTGCTCGGTTAGGTCAAAGAACTAGGAAGTGGCAGAGCCGGGGAGGGTGTCTGGTAGAGGTTGGGGAAGCCTCCCAGGTGTTCAGGGACACTTTGGATTGTGTGGCTGTGGCTGAGGGCAAATGGGCGGAAGAAATCCATGCTGATGTGGAAGAAGCCACCACCTGGGATGAACCCAAGGGCTCCAGAGTGTAAGAGCATTCTTGACGCCCACTCAGAATACACACACATGCAGACACACAGGCACACACACACACGTGTGCACATCCAATGTGCACTTTCACACAGCCACACACACCTTCCTCAGTTTGACTCCAAATAGGGGTTTGACGTGCCATATCTGCCTCTGCCCTTTTCCTCTTCCTGATCCCCCCTGTCCTTCCCCTACACAGCCCGTCCCCATCCCCATTATGGCCCTACTTACTGGTGGAGGAAGAGGCCCCGGTGCTGGCTGGGTCTCCACAGCCTCACCCCTGAATAGAGGAGAAACCCACAGGTGGGGGAAGGGCTCAGCTGAAGGTTTGCCCCCCTGCCCTCCCCTCTCAGCCCCGAGGACACTCAGTTCCACCCCAGCCTCATCCCCTTGGCCTTCTCATCTCAGGGGCTCCTTATTTCCCCACATCCTCATGTATACAGGCTCACGGAACCAAGCATTCTAGTATTCCAGCCATTACACAGGTGGGGAAATTGAGACCCAGGGGAGCATGACTTGCCCAAGGTCCTCTACCGGGTCAGGAGCAGTCTGGACTAGAATTCACCTCACCTGAAACTCAGCAGAAGGGCATCCTTGTTGGGGGCAGGGGATGGCACTGGAGGGTGACTTACCCTCCTTTTGTTTTTGTAGGTCCAGGCGTGGATGGCAGGAAGGAGCTAGCTGTCTTTTCCTCTGCAGCCACCGTGGACGTTGGGGGCATTGCTTCCTGAGAGCTGTCCCCATGTCCCCCTGGGCTGGGCTCCGGCGGAGCCTCCTGTGGCCTGATGTGTGAGACATCTGCCTCCTTGGGGCGCTTGTCTCCCAGTGGCTGGCCACGGCCGACCAAGGGGCAGCAAGGCTCTGCTGGCTGCACCATGTCTGCCTGGTGACCGAGGGTGCATTGATACCCGGGGCCCTGCTGAGGACAAGGACACTAAGGCTGGGGAGCTCCATCCTGGTTCCCAGGTGAACCTCAAAGCTCCAGGTGAACTGGAGACCAGTAATGACACACTTACTAGGATCCCAGCACTTCAGGCATCATCTTACTTAATTCTCCCAGTGCCCCTAGAAGGCAGCACAGGTACTCCTACACTTTGAGGGGTGAAGAAATTGAAGCCCAGAGAAGGCGTGGCCTACCCAAAGAACCACACTTCCCTGTGGGAGTGGAATGAGAGCATGGAAAATTGAGAAGATCCCCTTTAAATAGGATTTTCGTGTGTGTGTGTGTGTGTGTGTGTGTTTTATTTTTTTCTCTTTTTTGAGACAAGTCTCACTCTGTCACCCAGGCTAGAGTACAGTGGCATGAACACAGCTCATTGCAGCCTTAACCTCCTAGGCTCAAGGGATCCCCCTGCTTCAGCCTCCCAAGTAGCTGGGACTACAGATACCTGTCACCATGCCTGGCTGATATTTTTAAATGTTTGGTAGAGATGGGGTCTCACTATGTTGCTCAGGCTGGTCTTGAACTCCTGGGCTCAAGCATTCCTCCTGCCTCAGCCTCCCAAAGTGCTGGGATTACAGGCATGAGCCACCACACCCAGCCTTAAATGGGATTTTCTAAGGGATGTTTCAAAGAACAAGAATCCTTCACGAGGCTCCTTAAAAAGAGGGGTTTTGGCCAGGCGTGGTGGTACACACCTGCAATCTCAGAATTTTGGGAGGCTGAGGGGCAGGTGGATCACTTGAAGTCAGGAATTCATGACCAGCCTGGCCAATATGGCGAAATTCCGTCTCTACTAAAAATACAAAATTAGCTAGGCATGGTGGCTCATGCCTGTAATTCCAGCTACTTGGGAGGCTGAGGCATGAGAAACACTTGAACCCAGGAGGCGGAGGTTGCAATAAGCCATGATCACACCACTGCACTCCAGCCTGGGAGACAGAGTGAGACTCTGTCTCTTAAAAAAATAAATAAATAAAGGCCTAAGTGGGTGGATCACATGAGGTTAGGAGTTCGGGACCAGCCTGGCCAGCATGTGAAACCCTGTCTCTACTAAAAATACAAAAATTAGCTGGGCGTAGTAGTGTGTGCCTGTAATCCCAGCCACTCAGGAGACTGAGGTGGGAGGATCACTTGAACCTCCCACCTCAACCTCCCACCTGAGGCAGAGGTTGCAGTGAGTCCAGATCACACCACTGCATTCCAGCCTGGGCAACAAGGCGAGACTCTATGTCCAAAAAAAAAGAAAGAAAAGAAAACAAAGAAAAGAAATGTGGTATATTGTGGTATAGCCATAGAATGGAAATATTACTGAGCAACCAAAAGAACAACATGTTGATACACACAATACATGAATCTCTTTCTTTTTCTCTCTCTTTTTTTTGTTTTTTTTGAGACAGAGTCTTGCTCTGTCCTTCAGGCTGGAGTGCAATGGCGTGATCTTGGCTCACTGCAACCTCTGCCTCCTGGGTTCAAGTGATTCTCCTGCCTCAGCCTCCCAAGTAGCTGAGATTACATGCGCCTGCCACCATGCCCGGCTAATTTTTATTTTTATTTATTTATTTTTTTTGAGATGGAGTCTTGCTCAGTTGCCCAGGCTGGAGTGCAGTGGCGTGATCTCGTCTCACTGCAAGCTCCACCTCCCGGGTTAACGCCATTCTCCTGCCTCAGCCTCCTGAGTAACTGGGACTACAGGTGCCCACCACCACGCCCGGCTAATTTTTTTTTGTTTGTTTGTTTGAGATGGAGTCTCGCTCTGTTGCCCAGGCTGGAGTGCAGTGGCACAATCTCAGCTCACTGCAAGCTCCTCCTCCTGGGTTCACGCCATTCTCCTGCCTCAGCCTCCCGAGTAGCTGGGACTACAGGCGCCCTCCACCACGCCTGGCTAATTTTTTTGTATTTTTAGTAGGAGATGGGGTTTCACTGTGTTAGCCAAGATGATCTCGATCTCCTGACCTCGTGATCTGCCCACCTCGGCCTCGCAAAGTGCTGGGATTATAGGCGTGAGCTACCGCGCCTGGTCTTTTTTTTAAAATATTTTTGGTAAAGACGGGGTTTCACCATGTTAGCCAGGATGGTCTCGATCTCCTGACCTTGTGATCCACCCACCTTGGCCTCCCAAAGTGCTGTGATTAACAGGCGTGAGCCACCACGCCCGGCCTGGAAACAAGACTTAAATGCTTGTGATGTAGGCTGGGGGAATAGTCCAGTGACCCACAGACTGAGTGCTTGACATCTTCAGGGCACAGAGGGGAGCAAACACTCTGTAACCCAGGCTGGAGTGCAGTGGCCTGAACACCGCTCATTGCAGCCTTGACCTTCTGGGCTCAAGGGATCCCCCTGCCTCAGCCTCCCAAGTAGCTGGGACTACAGGTACATGCACCAGAATGGAGGGCATGCTGGGAGGGGGCTCTTTTACCTCCTCTGTGGTAGGTCATTCCATACCCTTCTTCCCAGATCTCCTAGGAGGATACCTGGCAGCTCTCAGGAGGCTCATCCTCCCCGGTTCCTCGGTTCCGTTGCCTCCTCTGCTGGCCCTCGATCTCCTTTCCGGAGCCCAGCTGCTGTAGCCCTTCAGGTCCTTCAGGAACCCAGGAAGGCAGCAACCCTAGCTCACTCTGATCCTGGCCTGCTTGCAGCTCCTGGGACCCTTCCTGGGGGACCCAAGAGGACTGCTTCTTCCTGGAGAAAATAGACAAAGTGACACTTCAGCTCCCAGACTGGGGCACTGTTCTATGTTCTTACAGGGTTAGGCATACCATAGGTGCATACCTAATGCCTGGAGGGACAAATGCAGGACCCACAGGAATTCCCCAAATCATAGATACTTTCATGTCAATGTTTTGGGGAGTTAAAATTTAAACTTTCAAAATTATTCGTAGAGACAAGGTCTCACTGTGTTGCCCAGGCTGGTCTTGAACTCCTGGGCTCAAGCAATCTTCCCACTTCGGCCTCCCGAAGTGCTGGGATTAGAGGTGTGCACCATTGCGTCCAGCCTAGAATTTAAGGTTTATAGTATTTTTAAAACTATTTTTCAGAAAAAAATGAAACAAAAATCAGAACTGGGATGCAGAGAAGACAAGAGATTTGAGCCTCAGGTCATAAAGCTAAAGATAACTGTTCAAAATTTGAAACTGTGTCTATCCGATCTCACTTTAGTATTCTGGAGTATTTATTTCCTCCAAGCTTCTTCCTATGCATATGTATACTTATATTTTTTGAGACAGAGTCTTGCTCTGTCACCCAGGTTGGAATGCAGTGGCACGATCTCAGCTCACTGCAACCTCCACCTCCTGGGCTCAAGCAATCCTCCTGCCTTAGGCTCTCAAGTAGCTGAGACTACAGGCATATGCCACCGTGCCTGGCTAATCTTATCATATTTTTTGTAGAGATGGGGTTTCACAATGTTGTCCAGGCTGGTCTTGAACTCCTGGGCTTAAGTAATCCTCCCACTTCAACCTCCCAAAGTGTTGAGATTACAGGCGTGAACCATGGTGCCTGGCCATTGCATACATATATATACGTACACACACACACACACACACACACATATATATATATATATTTTGTTTTTTCTTTGAGATGGAATTTCGCTTTTGTTGCCCAGGCTGGAGTGCAGTGGTGTGATCTCAGCTCACTGCAACCTTTGCCTCCTGGGTTCAAGTGATTCTCCTGCCTTAGCCTCCCAAATAGCTGGGATTACAGGCATGTGCCACCAAGCCCGGCTAATTTTATATTTTTAGTAGAGACGGGGTTTTGCCATGTTGGCCAGGCTGGTTTCAAATCCCTGACCTCAGGTGACCCTCCCACCTTGACCTCCCAAAGTTCTGGGATTGCAGGTGTGAGCCACTGTGGCTGGCCTAGTCTACTTTCTTCAATTAACATCATAGCCTACATTTTTCCCATGCTAAAAATCTTTCAGAAACATGCTTTATATGTTTTTTACATTCATTAAATGTATACAATTCCATATTTTATAGATAACCATCATTAACCATTTCCCTATTGTGTGGGCGCTTCAGGGGTTTCCAATTTTTTAGTATTTATTTATTTTTTTGTAGTTTTAGTAGAGGCAGGGTTTCACCATGTTGGCCAGGCTTCTCTTGAACTCCTGACTTCAGGTGATTCACTCACTTCGGCCTCCCAAAGTGCTGGGATTACAGGCATGAGCCACCGCGCCCGGCCCAATTTATTAGTATTTAAGATAATGTGACAGTGAAAATCTTTGTGCATAAAACTGCCTGAATCACCAATTATTTCCTCATGGCCTATTTCCAGAAATGGGTGAGGATAAAGGTAGTTTCAAGGCAGTTTAAACAAATTGCCACGTTGATGAAACAGGTATGCCTAAATGGTTTCTGTTTCCACCAGCATGGTATGCAGTAGTTGTCTCAGTGGGCCTTGGACCTGGCTTGAGTTCTCTCTCCTAACTTTTCTTGTACAGGAGGCTATTTAGGAGCTTCTGGTTATAGTCAAATCCAACTAAGCCAGCTAGCCTTTATTATTTCTATTACCCAAGCCTTTCACGTTGCCTTCTTTGGCTCGCTCTTGATTTTCTCTTTTTGAATATATTCTTGCTGTAGAAAAGGTTAAAAATATATACAAAATTTAGAAAACAATTACATGTATATCTTTTATGTGTTCCTGTGTTTCCCAACCTTTTTTTTGTTCATTATTCTATTAATTCAGTGAATCTATCTATCTATCTATATATATATATATATATTTTTTTTTTTCTAAGACAGTCTCGCTCTGTCACCCAGGCTGGAGTACAGTGGCGTGATCTCGGCCCACTGCAAGCTCCGCCTCCTGGGTTCATGCCATTCTCCTGCCTCAGCCTCCCGAGTAGAGTAGCTGGGACTACAGGCGCCCATCACCACGCCTGGCTAATTTTTTGTATTTTCAGTAGAGATGGAGTTTCACTGTGTTCACCAGGATGGTCTCGATCTCCCGACCTCGTGATCCGCCCACCTCGGCCTCCCAAAGTGCTGGGATTACAGGCGTGAGCCACTGCGCCTGGCCTTAGTGAATCAATATTTATAGAACATTTACTACGTGTCAGGCACAGTACTAGGCACGAGGGCTTTGAGGCTGAACCAGGTACATGATACTCCTCAAACAAGACACATAAAAGATGTTTGTGGTCTCGTTGGGGGAGTTCAGACAAAAGGTGAACACGAACTCCTTAGTGCAACCGGTGCAGTGAAAGAGAAGGACAAGGTGCTGTGGCAGGTGGAGCTGCCTTGGCCTGGGAGTTCTCCATTCTCTCTCCCTCGCAAGTGGGCTACAGGGCGTTGTCTCCTGGACCTGTTCTCTGGAAAGCCCCTCAGCTCACCCTGGTTTTGCTGGAGGCCTCTGCTCCTGTGTCCTGAGCTCTGAAGGCCCCTCCTTGAATGTGTCTCTGTATCTGGGCCCCTTCTCTGGCCCTCCTGAAGCTGATGAGAGCTGCTTCCTGCTGCCCACTTCCGAAGCATCTGGAAACATGACCTGGACAGAGATATCCATGGCACTGGCTTGAGGGCTGGCATTGAGTAGCCATTCTGGAGTGATCCCTCCCACTCGTCCCTGGGCACTCTCCTGGCCTCAAGGACAGGGAGATCCCATGCCTGACTGGGGAAGCTGTTGGAGAGGGGTGAGCAGGAGCCAAGAGGCAGAGATGGGGGCTGGCCCTGCTGTTGCTGTTGCTTAGCACTTAAGGCTCTGGTACGAACTGGAGTCCAGATTAGTACCTGAGACAAGGGGATTGCCCTGAGGACAGCTTGAAAGAGCACCCTGGGGGACCCCAAGACTCTCACAAGGTCCAAGAGAGGCCTTCGACAATTCCCATGCCTTCAAAACACAGGCTGTAGTTTGAACTGAGTTTCTATTTCATTTTTTGAGAGAGAGTTTCACTCTGTTGCCCAGGCCAGAGTGCAGTGGTGAGATCTCGGCTCACTGCAACCTTCACCTGCTGGGTTCAAGCGATTCTCGTGCCTCAGCTTCCCGAGTAGGTGGGATTAGAGGTGTGTGCCACCATGCCCAACTAATTTTTGTATTTTTTTTTTTTTTGTAGGCCAGGCCGGTCTCGAACTTCTGACCTCAAGCGATCCACCCGTCTCAGCCTCCCAAAGTGCTGGGCTTACAGGCATGAGCCACCGTGCCTGGCCTGAACTGGGTTTTGATCACTATCATGGTCTGTCACTCTCCAACTGGATGACCTGGAGCCAGTGATTGAGACCCAGCTCCAAGCATCACCAGAGTCAGCAAACTCCAAACAAATGGACTCAATTAATTGCCCTTGATATAATACAAGATTCTGATGTGAGCTAATACTAACAGGCACCTACTATGAGGCAGGTCCTGTGCTAGGTGCCTTCTAGGGATTTAACCCAGTTAGTCCTCACCGTAAAACAAACGAGGCTCAAGGGGTGCAGTGACATGCCCAATGTCATACAGCTGGGTAAGTGGTGGGACTGGGACCCCATGATGATGCTTGTTGAAAAAATAAATGCGTGGGTGAAGGCAGCCCTGAATGTTCACCTCTAGCCTCTCTCCTAGCCTCCAAGCTAGCTTCCTGTCCTAGCCTCCTCCCTCCAGGCCCTCTCCCTGCCCCAGGGGAAGCGACGATTTATAACAGAGGCTACAGGGAACATACCCAAAGGCATGTTGACTTTTTTTTTTGGTCGTTTTTTTTCTTTTCCTTTTTGTGGAGAACAGGGTCTCGCTATATTGCCCAGGCAGATCTCGGACTCCCAGACTCAAGCTATCCTCCCACCTCTGCCTCCCTAAATGCTGGGATCACAGGCGTGAGCCACTGCACCTGGCTTTTTTTTTTTTTTTTTTGAGAGGGGGTCTCACTATGTTGCCCAGGCTGGACTTTAACTCCTGGGCTCAAGCAATCCACCCACCTCTGTCTCCCAAAGTGTTGGGATTGCAGGCATGAGCCATGGCACCTGACTGACTTTTTATTTTATTTTATTTTATTTGTTTGTTTGTTTATTTATTTTTGAGACAGAGTTTCACTCTTGTTGCCCAGGCTGGAGTGCAATGGTGCAATTTCTGCTCACTGCAACCTCCACCTCCCAGGTTCAAGCGATTCTCCTGCCTCAGTCTCCCGAGTTGCTGGGATTACAGGCATGTGCCACCATGCCAGGCTAATTTTGTATTTTTAGTAGAGACCGAGTTTCTCCATGTTGGTCAGGGTGGTCTTGAATTCCCAACCTCAGGTGATCCACCCGCTTCGGCCTCCCAAAGTGCTGGGATTACAGGCATGAGCCACCATGCCCGGCTGGCTGACTTTTTAAATGGTGATATCTTTGGCCCTGAGGAAACTGGATGGGGAGGAGGGTCTTCTTTACGCTCTTCAGTTCATGCTACTTGGCACATTCAAAAAGAGGCTGGCAGGGCGCAGTGGCTCACACTTGTAATCTTAGCACTTTGGGAGGCCGAGGTGGGTGGATCACTTGGGGTCAGGAGTTTAAGACCAGCCTGTCCAACATGGTGAAATCCCATCTCTTTTAAACATACAAAAAAAATTAGATGGAAATTGCTTGAACCCAGGAGGCAGAGGTTGCAGTGAGCCGTGATCACACCATTGCACTCCAGCCTGGGTGACAGAACAAGACTCTTGTCTCAAAAAAAAAAAAAAAAAAAAAGACGCCGGGCACGGAGGCTTACACCTATAATCTTACACTTTGGGAGGCTGAGGCAGGCAGATCACTTGAGCCCATGAGTTCAAGACCAGCCTGGGCAACATGATAAAGCCTTGTCTCTACAAAAAAATTAGCTTGGTGTGGTGGCACATGCCACGCCTATAGTTCCAGCTACTCAGGAGGCTGAGGCAGGAGGATCGCTTGAGCCTGGGAGTTCAAAGCTGCAGTGAGCCATGATCACGCCACTGCACTCCAGCCTGGGTAAGAGAGTGAGAGCCTGTCTCAAAAACAAACAAACTAACTAAGAAACATATTTGATGGAAAGAGGCTGAGAGGTGTGATGGAAGCTTAGGATGCAGGCTGGGCGCTGTGGAGGGGCATGGAGGGAAGCCCTGAGTAGCTGTCAGGAGAATAAAGCTGGGCTGGAGGCTGCAACGGGAGTTCGGAGGCCATGGAAGGCACCTAGAAGAGCAAATAGGCAATTTTGGGTTTGCTCACCCTGTAGCTCTTTCCGTTACAGAAGCCAGCATTGTTTTTGGGAAGCTTCTCTTCTCCATTCAGCCCATGGGGCTCAGTGGAGCCACCTATCACCTCTGTCTCCATTGTATCAAGAGATCCAGACCACTCCCCACTGCCATGGTGACTGGTTTGAGGGTGAGCATCTGACCACAATCTGGGCCAATGACAGTGATGCTAGAGACTTGCTTCAACTGTTGCAAAGAGGCTCACTTCCTGTTGGAATGCTAAACCAGAGTATGTAAGATGGGAAGATGTAATCCTGGAGTGGCCAGGGCAATCCTTGCCATCTTGCAGGGAGAGCTTGCCTGAGAATGAATCCAACACAGAGCAACATAGAGCCAAGAGATACTCATTTAGCACCTTGATCTAGCCACACCTGAAGTCTATGAATGCATTTGTCAGTTACCCAAACCGATGTATTCTCTTTTCTGCTTAATCCAGTTTGAATTGGGTTTTGTGTCCACTTTTAAGAGAGTCTTAATTAAAGCAGCTGGGGAGGAAGCCTGGGCAGGGGAAGGGAAAGGTGCCAGCTAGGAGTGAATGGATCAGAACATTGGGTGCAGGTCCCTACCTGGCTGACTCCTGGTATGGTGGGCTCAACACCAGCCCGCTTTATGGTGATCCTCAGGCCAGGGCTTGGCTGGGTCCCTGGAACCTTGATTCTACCCTCTGTGTACATCTGGGTGTTTCTATTGTCCATGATGCCAGGGCCAACACAGGTGTCAAGTGAGGGGCATCAGCTACTGTGCTCCTACAGGAGAAATCCAATCAAGCTTCCCACCAAGCCCATCACCTAACCGCTGCTTCAGGAGCCCATGTGGAGCCTGTAATGTAGACAGCATGGCTGGAGGGAAGAGGCGGGGCCAGGCCTTGGCTCACTGCAACCTTTGCCTACCGGGTTCAAGCAATTCTCCTGCCTCAGCCTCCCTAGTAGCTGGGATGATAGGCAGCCGCCACCATGCCCGGCTAATTTTTGTATTTTTAGTAGAGATGGGGTTTCACCAGGTTGGCCAGACTGGTCTTGAACTCCTGACCTCAAGTGATCCACCCGCCTCAGCCTCCCAAAGTGTTGGGATTACAGGGGTGAGCCACTGCACCTGGCCATTTCTAAAGGCTTTCTTACTGTCTCTCCTCCACCTCTTTCATCCAGCCTCATATTCAGCTGTGCCACCACTCCCTACACAAATTTTCTGTTTTAATCCAGGCAG